ATCAAATCAGCATAATTCTTATAAATATTTAGCTGTAATTTTACTAAACCACAAGTATAATATTTAAAATCACTAAAATTTGACTATAATTAGGCATAAAACAATTTGTATTTAAATTTAATTTTTTAAAAATAATTTAAATTTTATTTTTTTTTTTATAATAATTTACAAAAAACAAAATATTATTTTATAATTCGGTATATGCCAAATTGTTGCCAAGTAGTATTATACTGAATGGTTGTATATCTGAATGTTTGACAAGTGGCAGCATACTGAATGGTATTATTTTGACTAGTATACTGTGTTTGCTATTCTTTTTTTCTTGTATTTTTGTTCTTATCTTCTTTCTATTCTTCTTATAATACCTTCTACCAGTTTCATAGTATATTGATTTTCTTTTTTATATTTCTGATTTTCCCTTCTAATTTGCTTAATCTTTCTCTTATTTTTTTCTATTCTTCTTTTCTTTCTTATATACTAATTTAGATCTGCTTTGCTTTCTCAATATTTCTATAAATAATATAATACCTCTTTTTCATATTCTTTTTTGAACCTGAATTGGATAGATGTAAATCTTGCTTGAGCCATTACTTTGTCTCTTTGAATTCTCACTTTTCACATTGGTAAGCTATATGTCCACTTTGTTTATATTTGTAACATAGTTTTCCATATTAGTTTATAAAATTGATTGTCACTCTATTCAATTTGAAGGTTTGTTTCTCTGTTGCTTTTAATTGGTTCTCTGTTTTGAATGATATATATGCAAATCTTTTCTTAAAATATATACTTGTTCTTTAAATATATAAGGTAAGATTTTTTCATTTGTTTCTTTTGTATTTTCTTTAGGTCATATACTGTGATACCTGTTAACAATTCTATTAGTTTAAGTATATATTTTGATCTTTTTGCAAGTTCTTCTTTTTTTTTTCTTTGAAAGTATTCTTAGATATTTCTTTTCAAAAAGGATCAACTATTTCTCAGCCAAGAGTTGTATATCTGTTTCTTCATTGTAGGTCACTATTGCCATTTGTCACATTTTTATTAGATGGATATCCACAATATAAATATTTCCAAACTTTTTTAATGTTGTTTTAATTGCTTCTTTACTAACTGAAAGAAAAATGTTTTTGATTATTATTGTATTTTTCTTTTCTGATTAGTATACCTTTTGTTCTGCCAGAATTAGATATTCTCTATTTTTATTTATACTAAAGTTGATACCATATACTTCCTGTATATCAATAAGATTTTCAAAATTGGCAATAATCTTTTTTTTGCCACTTCTCTTTCAATTCCTACTCTCAAGAAAAAGTCAAGGGTTATTCAAACTTTCTTTATCATGTTTATCATTACTGCTGATTCTTTTTCTTTACATCTAATCAGGCCATATGCTTAAGTTTATTAATTTTCAAACTTTAGGATTAAAAAGACCCTAGTACAGATATCACAAGATACATACTGTTAATCATACATCATATATTATCAGTTAAACTTTTAATGCTCATATGGTACACCCATCAACATTAATGCCTTTAAATGTGATTAAAAGAAATAAAAAAGTTGCTCAATTAAAGAAAGATGTTCCTTGTTATTTTAAAATTTCAAAGCCAGCCCTTTATCAAGACTGTCACCTCAACTTAACCTTTGTAGTTCTAAGATATATTTTTTTGAGAAGATAAAAGGAATAGATAAAGAGAAAAGAAAAAAGTTTATACTGATAAAATAAAAACCCATCAAAACCAATCACCAGTCTAATAAGAGCCTTCTTTGATTTTGAGAAGAAAAGAAACTAGCACAAGAGAGAAGGGGAAAACTTCAAACCACTTCTTATCAAGAGAATATCTCGACACCTTGCTCTTTTGTCTTCTTCAATTGCATCATCAGTTATAATGTAGTACAACATGGGGCACATGTGGATACATGTCTTGTTTACATTTCTTTTATAATTATTACTGCTGATTCTATGTCTGTTGCAAGTTCCAATTTGTATATGTATCTTGGTTTTTTTTCTACTTCTTTGGGCTTTTCCTTCTTCTTTTTGCTTCACTTGCTTCATTTCTATATATGATTTCATTTCTTTTGCTCTAATATCTGGACCTGCCTTGCTAGTACTCTCTTTTTCTACTTCTGGACTTGTCTTTTCAATTTTCATTTCTTGTTCTTTTATCTTCTCTTTTAATTCTTTTTCATTTATAGTTTCTTTACTTTTCTCCTTCCCCATATCCATACTTGTTGCTTGCATTGGTATTCTTTTTTTTTCTTTTGTTTAAGCTTTTGAATCTATCTTGTTCTTTTTTGTCAATAGTGATTACCTTTACTCTTACTTTTCTAATTGCATTTATTGTTTTCCTTTCAGTACCTTTTTTCCTTTCTGTACTTGATATTGTTACTTGAGTGACTTTCATTTTTCCTTTTACTTTCTTATTGCTTTCTTTCAAAATTTTTTAAAAAGGCAATTTTTTCAGTTTTCTATTGTATGGAAAAAGTTTTTTTTTTTTTAGGGAAGAAGTTTATATAATACTGAATATAATTTTTTTAATAAAAAAAAATTAAAGTATGACTTTGATAATTTGTATATAATTGTATAAAATTTATCAAGTTTTCTAATTTTTTAAAAAGAATTTTAAATCTTTTTTTACTGTAATAAAAAATAGTAATTTTATAATATTATTGAAATTTTTTAGATTATTTAGAAGTAAAAGCAAAGAAAAGAAATATGAATTGAAAAGTAATAAAAATTTGTAATATAATAGCAGTTATAAGTCGTCGACTCCCCCTTTAAAAATCTAAATCTAAGCCAATTGTTTTGAAAATGTTAGGA